ACACACCGTGAACACACACCCGGAGCAGTGGGCAGCCATTTTCACTGCGGCGCCCGGGGGTTCAGTGCTTTGCTCAATGGTCTCACCTCAGTCAAGGTACTGAAAGTGGAAAAGAGTGCTGTACATTCACTCCCCCACCGACAATCCCTGCCGGTACACAGACTCGAACCTGCAACCTTTGGGTTACAAGTCCGACTCTCTAAACATCAGGCCATGACTACCCCAAACACAACAGGCTCATTACTTAAAAAAAACAACAATTCTTTTCTGCAGGGATTCCCAAACGTTTTTGTCAGCCTTTGACCTGAAATATTGTCTTGAAGCCCCCCCCCAAGATTTTAATTTAATATTTTAATAATTTAACAACACACATCTTCTCTAATGTCAGCTAATGGTCACATGACAAGCAGATAAATAATCACAATATTTTATTATTATAATTTGTTTAGTAAATGCTTAAGTTTGATCATTTTTATTATTTATTTTAATTTAGCATTTTTATGATTTAATTAATTACATAATTTATTTTGATTGTTTTACTTTCAAATTATGTATTTTCATTTGGCATTTTTATGGTTTAACCAATTAAGAAATATATAATTAAGTATTTTATTTTGATAATTTAAAAATAAAATAGTCAAATTAAATAAAGTACTTAATTAATAAATCAAAATTAAAACCCATAATTTTTTAATAAAAAAATAATTTTAATAATTTTATCATTTTAATTTTAAATAAAAAAATTAAATAATTTATGTCTCAATTATTACTAAGTATTTTATTTTGATTGTTATTATTTTATAATTAATTATTTTGATTTAGCATTTTTATTATTTAATTATTACTATGTATTTAATGATTGTTTTTATTTGAAAATTATTTTACTTTAGCATTTTTATTAATTAATTATTACTATAAAATTTATAATGATTGTTTCTATTTTTAAATAATCTTCATTTAGCATTTTCATGACTTAAATAATTATTTTAATAATTGAAAAATAAAAACAAATCAAAACACTTAATAATCAATTAAATCAAAATTAAAATACATAATTTTAAAACAAAAACTGTACTAAAAATTCTAATTTTGCATTTTTATGACTTTATTATTACTAGGTATTTATTTTTGACTGTCCTTATTTTATAATTCTGTATTTTAAGTTAGCATTTTTATGATTTAATTAATTATTACCAAGTATTTTATTTTGATTGTTTTTTATTTTAAAATTATGTTTTTTAATTTTGCAATTTTTGTAAGGGTTTTATTTTGATGGTTCTTATTTTCCATTTTATGATTTAATTAATTATTACCTTTCTCCATCACAAACCCCAGTTTGGGAAACCCTGCTCTAGAGAATCATCACCATATGATCAATCTAATCACCATTACAGTGCAGCAGATGTTTAAAACTCATGAAAGTGTTGTGAAAGTAAAGCTCACCTGTATGAGCAGGTAACAGACCTCCAGCAGACCCCTCTGAGCGGCCGCATGCAGAGCGCAGCGTCTGTTCTGAGAGTCTGACTGATACGACGGGTCGATGCCCTCCACTGACAGACACACAGAGACAATATCAGCTCTGATGCTGAAAACTTCAACAGATGTGTGATATATATATATATATATATATATATATACGTACTGAGCATGAGCAGAACTCGCTGAGCTTCACCCTGTTTGGCTGCAGGACAGAGCTGACGGGGATGAAAGCGCAGCTTCTTCCTCCTGACCAATCAGAAAGAGCCAAGCAGATCACATGACAATGCCATCACCTTTTGCCTGAGTATGTTCAGAATAGCACACTACGATATGGTTTTTGCCTCAATTCTGTGCACTGTGTGTTGTTTTTTCTGCATGCATACAAGTGTCATTTTAGTATAACTGACATACTATTATAGTTGTCAATATTTTGAATTAGAATTTATTTTTATATTTTCTGTATTCATTTTAATTTTAGTTACAATTTTTGTAATTTTGTTGTTTTTGTCATTTTGTTTTGCAAATGTGTAATTTAAATATTAACCTAAAATTCCTGTATTAAAGCTAATAGGACAGCTCACAAAAAAATAAAAGTCTAAATAAATATTATTCTGTCTTTATTTACTAGCTATTACAAACCTTGATGCCTTTATTTGTGGCAGTGTTATTTTAGTATCATCGATATACAGTACTATGATTTGAATTAGAATTTATTTGATATTTAAATTTTCTGTTTACACTTTAATTTTAGTTACAGTTTTAGTATTTTTTTTGTTTACACAATTTTAGTTATTTTAGTACTTCAAGCTAAACTAGAAGAAAATGAGAAATGGTCATGGAAAACCTGGATACTGGAGGAGTTTTTAATATTGTGATTTATAGACCTTGAAAAATCATGGAAATTGATAAAATCTTAAAAAATATTTATAATAAATATACTTTTTCTGGTTTTGTCAAGTCATGTCAAATTTCTATTTGTAAGCAAAAATAATCTAAAGTTCAAGTTAAACTAAACAAAAATAAGAAATGTTTCCTTGGCAGCTAGCCGGTTGGTTTTAGTTTTAGTTAACGATAATAAGCCTGATGCATACAACACCCAGGTACCCATCCACAAAATGTGCAGTGAAATACCGTATCCCATAATGCAATGCACTCTCAGTGTGACGACTGAACCAGGAATGATAGAATCTGTCATTCTGAACATCTATTTCTTCACTCATTATTTGTTTAAACTGATATTAATATATAAACCTCTCGGTGTCCTGTGTGAGAATGGCTCTCTGTAGTGCCGCCCTCCTGTCTCCAGGTGGAAGTGCGCTGGGACACACGGGCTTCCCATTGGGCAGGACGAGCGATGGTCCCACACTGTCCACTCCGCCGTCACCCAGGGCGACCACATCCTCTACCCCGCCCCCTCCTGGAGTGCCATTGGCCGGCTGAGTTTGAAGCTCCGCCCCCTTTCTTACATCTCCACGACAATGCATCCTTGCACTGTGTGGAAAAAAACATCAAAGACAGTTTAAAATTTCCTATTAAATATATTTGTTCATTAGCAAATTGCAAAACCTGTTTTTTAGTTACAAACTAACATTAGAGAACAACCCCCCACTTGTTTTTTTTATTAATAAATAAATGTAAAAAATTGATAAATATTAATAAATAAAAATTAATAAATACATTAATTTATTTTTAAAAAATTCTATAATGCGGGATGTTTTTAAAGGTTTTTTATTAGAGGAGATTTTTTGAAGCGATAACAGTAAACTTAAATATGCGCTATTTTACTATTAAGCAACGCATATAACTCACTTGATCGGTTCGCCCATCTTCTTCTCGTTGTTTAGCACCCGTGATGTGGCCGCGAGCGCGGAGGGAAGTAGCGAGGGTGTGGTCGTGGTGGACGACGCACTTGCAGTGACCACGTTAGACCCTGAAGAGGGCACTGCAGGAGGGATGGTGACCTCACGTGCCTCTGACGCATCCTCACCACAATGAGGGCAGAACAGCAGGCCGACGCCCACTCCTCCTCGACTCCGCCCACAGCCCAGCACTGACACACAGCCCCGGTGGAAGCGGTGAGTAATGTGAACGTCCGGGCAACATTCAAGAAACGTTCCCTGCGTGTGAAGTGAAAAGGAGGATCTTTTAGCTTTCTGTTTGTGAGCTGATGAAAAGCTAATAATCAATTAAATCATGAAATGCTAAATTAAAATAATAAATAATTAAAAAATAAAAACAATCAAAATAAAACACTTACTAAAAAATTATGACATTTGTTTGTTTTTACATTTTTATTACTTTTACATATTGTGCCTTTAATTTTCGCCGCTAGAGGGCGCATATTCAAAATAAACAAAGGCATAGTTTGATGACGCTGTGACTGAGTGTGGAATCATGGGAGTTGTCGTCTTCATCCCCACAGCCGATTCAATCCGACGGGACTCGGGCAGAAATCATGTTCATGGATGAGCTAATGATTTATTAACGTAGTAGAATGAAGCAGGATGAGGCTGAAAGCCGTCGAAGCGAAACGAGGCCGCTGAACGAGCGTGACACACGGCTCGAAAGCAGCAGAGCTTTTATTATGCCACAGTCGACCGCTTCCGCTCCTTCCGGTCGTGCGTATGTGGGGTAAAGCAGCGGAGCTTTTATTATGCCACAGTCGACCGCTTCCGCTCCTTCCGGTCGTGCGTATGTGGGGTAAAGCAGCGGAGCTTTTATTATGCCACAGTCGACCGCTTCCGCTCCTTCCGGTCGTGCGTATGTGGGGTAAAGCAGCGGAGCTTTTATTATGCCACAGTCGACCGCTTCCGCTCCTTCCGGTCGTGCGTATGTGGGGTAAAGCAGCGGAGCTTTTATTATGCCACAGTCGACCGCTTCCGCTCCTTCCGGTCGTGCGTATGTGGGGTAAAGCAGCGGAGCTTTTATTATGCCACAGTCGACCGCTTCCGCTCCTTCCGGTCGTGCGTATGTGGGGTAAAGCAGCGGAGCTTTTATTATGCCACAGTCGACCGCTTCCGCTCCTTCCGGTCGTGCGTATGTGGGGTAA